GGCTAAAACAAAAAGAAGTATTCCAATTTGTTTCCAGAAAAACAGTCTATTTTGTCTTTTTTGCTATAGCTTTGTTACTTTATCAAGAAGGCAACACATGTTTGTGTTGGCAGGTTGGCTTTTTATACAATGTATTGTATGCAGAAGTACTGTAAGACAAATGGGGTGTTAAATAAAAATTTGTTTCACTTAAGGAAAAATAAAAACCTGTGTTTGAGGCACTATTATTTCTCATGATGGACTATTTCAGAAGTTCCTTCAAGACCAGTGGTTGTGTTAAAGCCACATTTAGTCAATGCTTTCCAAAGTAAGGACCAAGCCAAAAACCATGCTAGGATGCCAACTTCCCCAGAAATGGAGGAAAAAAAGAGCAGACCCAGATTTTGAAGCCTGGGACTAGTTGAACCTTGCGTACAGCCTGAGCTTGTTTCAGTGCCGAGGCAGTGTTAGCCCAGAACAACTGCCTTTTTTGCATCCATGTTAAAACATCTACAATGCACAGATGTGTCTCCACCGACTCTGATGCCTTGTTCTTTGTAATTCATGCACTGCCCTTATTGCTTCTGGCACTGTTCGCGGAAATCCCACTCTCCATTGGAGCCCCATCCCTTCAGCTGTTTCTGCGATGGCTGATGCTCTTGTGCCTCCTGGAGAGCACGGAGCAGATTCTTATCCCCAATGGACCCATCCCACCCAGGCAGTAACAGCAGCACATCTTGTGTAAGAGGTCTTACAAGTATTTTTTTATTTCTTCTTTTTTTCTTTTTTTAAATACTATGTACAATCTGTTTAAAGCTTGTCAAAATGCACAGGCTCCCATTCAATGGAACTGTGCAGGGACATATTCAAGACAAGAATAAAATCTTTACTGTTCATCTTCATAAGACACTTCCTTTTTCCCATTACAAAATACTTTTAAGAATAGTAACATTTATAAATGTATCTATATTCAACATCATATAAAATAAACCAAGATTTATACTCAATTCTAAGATCTTTTCTTATTCTCTCTTTTTTTTTTTTTTTTTTTTACATGGAGTATATACAATATATACAGTAATTTTTCACTGTGTTTGTCAAACCAGCCTGATTCTACCCATCAGGCTTTAGCTTATATGTACAAATACGCTAAAAGTGCAAGACTTTATTAATTAAAGCTGCCTGTGTTTTCAGAGGTCTGGAATTGTGTGGCCTATATATATATATTTTTATATATATAGATATACATGTACACATATATGTATATTAAAATACATATATATGTATATCTATATAGAGAGAAAGAGTTATAGGTGCTTGTATACTAGAAAGCCTCAGAACATTAATGACTAATGGGTCAACACCGACACTGGATCCCAAGCCCGACACAGGCAGCATCGCTCACGTTCCTGCCCTCTACTTGTCACCAGCAAGTCACACTTGGGTTTTCTCATAAGCACCCTGGGAGTGTGTGAACCAAACCCACCAGCAACCCTCAATTCCAAATGGGTCCCAAAAAACACAGGTCATAGCTAACACCGAGGTAAACAAATATAAATCAACCTGAATCAAGAGCTTTATTTATTCATGTATTTTTTGAGAGTGAATTGTAATATAAGGCAAAATCCCATGGCCCTGACTCAGCCTCCCCCCAGCCTGGAGGAAGACCAAGCAGGGTCCCAAAAAGGGACTGTGGGATTTTGTCCTTCGGAGCACATCAGAAAAACATGGCTCTACCCATGAACATCTCCTGGGACAGGGCAGCCACCCACCACCCACCAGCAGCTGGGCTGGCGGCTGGGGTGGACACAGGGAATAAAGAGGAGGGGGCACATGATAAAGTGCATTTTAGGTCTCTTGTTTTAGCACAGCCCATCTAACATGTAAACATCCCTGCAAACCTCCCATGCTCTTTGCTGAGAGCCCTCCCTGTCTGTGCAGCCCAGCCAGAAGGGCTGTGTCCATGGCACAGCCCCGTCCGGCACACCCACCGCCCCCCAAACCTCTTCCCAACCCTCTTGTCAGGCTCGCTTTCAAAGCCACAACCATGCCAGAGAACTACTCTGCCTTGGCTCCCTCCCTACCAAGCCCTGTTAAAAAAAACCCCGCCCCCCAAGCCCCTGACCCCAACCACCACCACCGCCAAAGTACCTTTTAGTGACACCTGCCACATCTGGGCACGTGTGCAGTGAGGGGACACTGCAGAACAGCCACGGGGTTGGGTTGGGGTGATGCAGGTTTAATGAGCAAGACAGAGAAATGCACGGCCTCTCCCTCCTGCCAGGCACACCAGGCTACAAACTGTACAACATGGAGCCCTAATGTAAATGTGTGTGTTTGCCTCCCCACTAACATCATGTGCCAAGGTTAGGAAGAAAAAAAACCACCTCCCCCCAAAAAACGTACAGCAACCCCTCCTTGACTCAAACTCATGAGCAACCCTAATGTCTTGGGATGGGGGGGAGAGACCCTAAAAGTAATAGTGCTTTAAAAAAAAAAAATTAAGAAATATTATTTCCTACCTCAAAGGCTGCACACAGGCCCTGCACACGGTGCTGCTGTGCAAACAGCCTGGGACAGGACAGACCCCACGCTCTCCCCAGGAGTTGGGCTCTGACAGCCCAGGGTTGAGGCTGTTCTTTCCGCTCTGGATTGTGCCGCAGAGGCCGGTGCTCCACATCCCACTGCCAGCAGTGAGGTGGCCCTGGCCCACGGCTCTGCTGTAGCCCCAGTTATTTGTAGGGTTTGAAATGGTGTGGCCACTTCAGGCTGTGCACTCGCAAGGCACCAGCCCTCATGTTGTAACCCCAGGCCTAAGGGCAGCCCAGCCCCTCCTCGGCTCCGTCCTATGGCCACTGTGCTCCCCAAACCCCCCCTCTGCCTGCCCTGCAACCCCCAATCTGTCACCGCAGGCACCCGAGGAGGTGTTCGCCCAAACGCCCCTGCCAAAGCCACCTGTGACCAGGCTTTTGCCAAAGGAGGGGCCCTGTGGAGATCTGGGGGCTCACACTGCTTTTATTTGGATGCCCACCCCAGCCCCGGCCAAAACAGCAAAGCAGCCCCGTGCCTTGCACCAGCCCCAGGAAAGCTCCTGGCTGCTGCGGGTGCACCCTGCTCGGGCAGCCTGTCCTCCCACCACCACCACGGGCAACACAGCACATCAAAACCCCGTCCCTTTTCCCAAAAAAGAACCCATTGGGTGGGAAACAGCCCCTTGTGCAACGGGGCCGGGGCACGGCTGGGACATGGCTGGGGCAGGGGGTGAGTCACACTGTGCCTGCCAAGCAGCAGGAAGGCTGCAGCCAAAACCATGTCTGGGGCAGATCTGTCACCCTCGTGTTTCGTTCCCAAGCTCTCTGGGAAATTTGGGCTGCTGCAACCTGCTGCGGTCAGGCTGAAGCAGTCAGGATTTCTGTCCCATGCTGCCAAGCCCAGGCGCTCATGCCTGACCCCACAGCTAATGCCACACTGCAGGAAATGCGTTTGGCTGGTGGGGGAAGGCGAGCAAGCTAGCTATAGATACAGCTACAGCATTAGACATCTCCAGCTATAGATATACCTACCATTAGCTATACCTATTTTTTTTTGCATGCTAACCTTCCCACCCTCTTCCCCCCTTTTCTTGAAACACAGGGCTGCTCGTGCCAAAGGCTGCTCCATCAGGAAGCACCAGCATTCAGCTGTTGCAGTGGTGCAAAGAGCCAAGGAAGCGGCTTGCACAAGGAAAAAGCAAATGCCAAAAAAAAAGGCAAAAAAAAGTATGCTTTGCTTGGACTTGACAGAGGTTACAAACTAACCTGTCCCTAAACCTTACTCTGACTGCCAAACAGAGCTTTGCTGCTAGGTGGACCTGGTCCTAACTAACCACTTTCTTGCAAAGCTTATTTATAGCAATAGCCCAACCCATCTTCTACGTTTGGGCTCCAACAGTGCCCAAAGTTAGTACTCAGCTACTACCTCCTCAAAAATGTACATTGTGTCTTTCCAAAGGAAAAATGAAAAACAGTAGGGACACTTAACTATACACCCACTGAGGAATAAACTGGTTTTTTTCAATTCATAAATATAAACATATAGTTAAAAAGTGACAATTTACAAAAATACAATTTATTGCTGACCCTAGGGGCTTGTAACATCGCTTATGTCACTGTGAGCGTAAGTTTCAGGTTCACCTAACTGAAACACAACCTGGCAACACCACCAAGTTTGCTATCATATGCTGTTCTATGCTTGTTTGTTTGTTTTCATGTATAGAAACATACACAACTACACCACTTGACACAAAACAACCAAGGAAAGGAGTATGGATTCTTTGTCTGTAACCTGAAAAATACTTGGCTACAGGGAGTAAATACCATAGAAATTTATCTGCATTTGTTAACTAAAATAAAACATGACAAATATCTTACTTGCTGCGACGCGAGCTGGTATAACAACAGTAAGAAATTCAGGCAAAAGTGGTGTTGTGTAAATTAGCAGCATTATCCAATCTCCTGGAAAACAAAAAGTTGCGGGACTGAGGTATAGAAAAAAAGGAAAAAAATCCACAATGGACCTACTACAGCGAAACGAGTTATGTACATGGTAACCCCATAGCGTCCTGCGGACCGGTACAGTCTGCGTATGTGCTCCAAACGCTGGGCTAAAATTCACAGTGACTTTCAGCATTAAAGTCCTGAATGGAAAAGGGTTTTCTCCATCGCAAAGCAATCTTCATGGCGACCTGACAAACAACTTCTCTGCAGCCAGAAAGCCGTCACCTTCCAGTTGTACAGTGGTGCTGGGCAAAGGCATGTACAGCTGCCAAAGCAGCATCACGGCCCGGCTGCGTGGCAATCCCAACCGACGAGGTGCCCCCGAAGCCATCCACCCCCGGCGGAGACCATCCCTCCAGCCACCACCTTCCCTATGGGGCCCGACCTCACCCATCCCGTGCTCCGACAGTGTCGTCCTCCCCTCCGCGTGCGCCCGGGGCGCCGAGCGGCTGCAGCCAAGGTGGTCCCTGCCTCCCGGACCCGGCATCAGGGCAGCTGCATCTCAGGCAGGTCAGGCAGGTTGCAGGGCTGGCCCTGTGCATGGCGGCTCTGCTGCTGCGGGTGGAGGAAGTAGCTCAGGGGGTTCTGCTGCGGGGTGTGGGGTGGCTGGAAAATGCGCTGCGTTGGAGTCCCGGGCACTGGCTCAGGACCTTGCATCTGTCAGGAGACACAAATCCAGCAAGTCAGACCTGCACTATTGGCCATCTGCTCCCTCTCTTGCTGCAGGGCCGATGCTGAGGCTCGCACCTGGGAGTGTGAGTATCAAGTCCTAATGGTAACCTCCACCCATCAAAGGTATGAGTTGCGAATAAGCAGCGTGGGATGCCGCTGCTATCAGCATTACTAGCAACATCTGGAGAGTATGGAGGGGAAGCAGGACACCATCTGTCCTGCCAGCCCCACAGGAGCCCAGCAGGGATGGAGACCT